GTGCACACTTTCTTTACATAAAACTCTCTTATACATGAGTTGCTGTGGATTTGTTTCTCTAAAGTACCTAGACTAATACACTAACCAAGGCTCCTTTTGCTCCATGCCTTTATAAGAGTCACAGCACAAGTTCCCCCATCCGTCGCCAGCAGTGTCTGACGCTCTCTCATCGCCCCGGCCTGTTTCTGCTTTTCAATGAAGGACTGTCAGGTGGGCTGTGTTTCCCTTTTGACCTTGATTAGCAGGAAACCCAACCCTGTACTTTCTATGGAAGGTCCTGCCCACCTTTCAAAGATGAGACTTTCTGCTTCTTTGAAGATGGGCAGCCTTGGAAACCACAGGGGGAGTTGCGCGCTGCCCTGCCGGCTCCCTGTGAGTCAGAATGCACAAGGGCTTTAAAGCTGGTTGGCTTTGTCATTAATCGAGGTTTTCTCTTTCGCCTTTGAAAACATCACTTCCTGTATCACCTTCCAGACACTTTATCACATGAGTAGACACCGCAGATGACTAAATGAACATTGCAATTTTTCTGGAATGAAAATTATGACTTTAAAAATAATACTAAATATCTGAAGAGTGGATTGAGCTGCCTGGAGGCATTGTGTGGTCACAGATGTGTCCACGGACGTGTTTGTACTTGGTGGCTTGAGATGTCGCCACTTGAGTCTGTGGGTAAGAGAATACACTTCGGCCCAAACCAAAGTTGGTTGGCGTTGGACCCTCTCTCTCCACCGCTGGCTGTGGGATGCTCGCGTCTCTGGGCCTCTGTGTCTGCATTTGTGATGGAGATAACAATATGGGCCTCTGTGTCTGCATTTGCGATGGAGATAACAACACCATGCAGGGTGGTTGAAGAATAATAGGCAACCCCTTCATGTAAAATCCTTCAACGGCGACTGCAGTAGATGGTAATTACAGCTAGTGCTATTGTTATGTGTCGTCAACTAGACTTTTTGCAAACCGCACCGCTTCAAATCAGCTCCCAGATGTGCACATGGATTGAAAGCAACCTTCTGCGGGCAGTGATGGTGGTTCATTAAGGACTTGCCTTTCCTTTAGAGGGTCGTCCGTGCTGTTATTTCCTACAGACGCTCAAATGACTCGGGTCTGTCCAAGGTTGTCCATTCCGGGGTTGGTGGCACAGTCCTGGAGAGCTCTGAACTCTCTCCAGCTTCTTACTTATTTGCAAAGGGATTGGAGCATCCTTACCTGGGCTGGAGGAGGAGGCAAACACTGCCACCCAGTCGATTCTAACTCATAGTGACCCTGAAGGACAGACAGGGTGGAACTAACTGCCTCTGTGGGGGTCTGAGACTGTAACTCTCTCCGGGAGTGGAAGCCTCCTCTCCCCAGGTTATTTCCCCATCTCTGCCACTCCTTGCCAAAACAATTGTTTCAAAGAGGAAGTGCTCTGGGTCATAAAATGCCATCTGGTAGTCAGTATATGGCCATCGGGACACACCGTGTTTATACAGCAGCTGATTGGCAGGAAGTAGATGATTCATCAGGGAAAGAAGAAAAAAAAGGACCTCCTACCAAAATTAACTTCCTCTTTTAAACTCTCTTCTAGTTCATCCTTTTAGGACCAAC